AAAAGGGCAATATACAGTCTTGGGAAGCTGTCCACGTGTATAAAAGCCAATCAATTTATTTCATTCTTCCACGTCACTGAGGCATTTTCGAACGTGGGCTTTATGTTTTAAAGATCCGTCATTTTTATAGAACAAGCCCACTAAGCCCATTTCGTTGACTCCTCAAGCATATGTTTGTTTTCTTCGATAACCCCTTCTCCATTTCGTGGAAACCCTAATTTTAATAGAACGATTGGTGAACATTAGCTTTTTGTCTTCTTCGATTCCGTTGCATCACTCTGATCTACTAGATGATAATGTGGGATCTGTGGGAAAAGATGATGTATCACATGAGTTCCAATGTCGTGATGAATGTTATTGATCACTCCGTAGTCACGATCCAATGTTGTAAGCCCTCCTCTGAAGTAACTCCATTCCTGTTTTGAGCCAAACATGAGATATTAAGCAACAGTGGCTTTAACCAAACATGAGACATTGCGTTGTCTCTACAGAATAGTGAAAGGCCACAGACTGCATTTGTACCATCCCACGGTACTACCAAGGGAGCTTATCTTCATGACCATGGTGATGAAAATAAGGCACAAAGTCCAACCACATTACATTTATCTGTACATAACATTTAAAAAAAGTAAGACCTAAACTTCTCAAAGGCGAAAACTACGGCGAGGAGCGTAAGCGCGGTGGTGGCATAGTTGACTTGCGCGTCGTCCAAGGTTCTACTAGCATAGTAGATGGCGCTCAACTTCCTGTCCTTCCTTTGCCCCAAAACGGCTCCAACCGCGTAGTCACTTGCATCGCACATGACCTCAAATGGTAAATTCCAATCCGGTGGTTGGACTATGGGCGCTCTGACCTGATCGATGTCTCAGGAATTAGTCCCGGATCATATTCCAGTGCGTCCACAGAAGAGGAAATCGCAATGCATCTTGCTCAGCAGGCTTAGCTTGGAGTTTTCAGGTTAAGGCAAATAAACTCAGACGCAAATTCCTTAGTCTGATGAATTGGGAGAGTAACAGAGGCAGCATTACCCAGTAAGGAATGCCATAAAGTTTGAGCATTTTCATTGGACCCATCACGAAGTTAAGACAGATAAGCAGAGCAGACATTGCAGTCCAACAAGCAATAGATGTAAGAACATCCTTTCTCTCTTTAGGAAGGAACAAGTCGCTGTCCAGATGGTAATGAGAACCCTTTTTCCCCGGACTTCGAGCCCACTGAAAACAACAGATAAAGAAACACATGAGCCCTTTTATTTACTTGATCATGTGTAAGCTTAAGTTATTACAGAAACAAAGAAATGAATTTTTTTTCCTTACCAAATAGAAAGGGTATGCGAGCATCACAAGAGGCAGTGTAAATCTAAAGAACCGAGTTGGTTTGTCCAAAGTCTTAAAGATTTTCTCAGACATCTGCAGTTACAGAAACAAAATAAATAAAAAACAAACACCACATGACTGAAACAAGAGCCAGTGCTGATAATTTACAGGATGCCAAGATTCATCGTTCTCAACATGTCCATGGTTCTGGTGGTGAGTTCTGTGGCTAATTCTCCTGCAGATGAATCAAAATACATATATTTATACCAAGAAGATGATTGCTTTTCGTTTTAAGAAAATAAAATGGTTTGAAAGCAAACCTAACCAGCCATGGTAAGGGACTAGGATTGAGGAATGAAGAAGGTGACCAACCACACTGTTCAACCTTGGATCATTTGAGAAGATACCATGTCCACTGAAACCAACAGAGCAAAAACAATTGTTGTGACAACTAGAAGAAGACCAATAATGGGAATCATCATCTAAAGTTGACCAAGTCAGAGGCTAAACAAGAAAAATATAAGGTTTTCTTTTAATTATAGTACCAGTCATGGCCAAGAACAAAGAGAGCCAGAACATGGTTCCTTGAGTGGCCAAACAAGCCAACTGTTGAGGTAAGCAGCTCCAGCAGCCAATGCAAACACAATGGCAACGTCTCTGAGGACATAACTCATCGACTTCCATGGATTCTTAACCCAATAATGCTTAGGAATAGCTGCTCTAATATCAGCTAAATTGAACGGAGAAGGGGCACCTGGGTCGAATCTCTGCGTTTCGTGTTCTTCTTCCTCGATGGGAGTTTTAAAGGTGTGGCAACATTCAACGCCCAGTTTCGAGAATTCGGACGAAACGAGAGAGAAGAGGATTATTTGAGTTTGAAAGTGGTGTTGGAAAGGAAAGTGGATCTGGGTGTGGTGTATATATAATATATGAGTTAAAAAAACCTATTATAGAAAAGGTAAATTTATACAAATAAAAATAGGGAAAATCGCATAAAAAACCTTCAAGGTGGCAACCACTTACACTTTAAAACTTTGTTCGTTGAGTTGAGTCACAAGAAACATACGACTCCACTCTGTATTAAGCTACTCAAAAGGGGGACCACAGTAATTGGCACAAAGACAATGACTTCTCAACTCATATTTGGAGATGAGCAGGTAAGTTTGATACATCTTAATAATTTTTGTTGTATAATTTATGGTCGTGAGAATATAAACTAACAGATTATATTTCTTTAAAAAGGGTTCTACAATTCAAGCCACCTTTTCAAAAGATTTGGATGAACCTTTTCAAAGCCCTATGGAGGAAGGTGAGTGGTATGAGTTACAAAACTTTGACATTACCTATGCAACTGGGATAACGAGGGTGTCAAGGAACCGATACCAAATTAACCTCAGTGACGCCTCCATCATTTTCAACATTCCACCACTCTCCTTTTGCAACTATTATCATTTTGAAACATTTGATAATGTACTCAAAGGGCTAGCTCATCCAATGTTTTCTATTGGTAAATTTATATACTTATCTTATATTATTTTTTAAAAAGTTTAATGCCAACTGATATGTTTGTTTAACTATGACTAATTTACGTTTAAAATTTACAGATCTGTATGGAGCTTTGGTATCAATGGGTGACATTGAAGCAGATGCAATAGGGAACCATAAAATCGAATTCTCTTTAGTGAATATTGAGTAAGTAATTTCTTTTGTTTTTATAGCTGTTTTTTTCACTGTTATTGCATATGAACTAAATTTTTTTAAAAAATTTTATTCTCACTTACAGTTATGAACACATTAAATGTGTTGCATATGGAGAAGTTGCTGAGTTTATAGATAATTTCTGGAACTCAACCAATGCACCTGTTGTCCTATGTGTTTTACAGTTCTGGCAAATTGATTGGGG